AATATAATTGTTATTTTATTTTTATTTTCTAAAATTCATTAACTAATTTTAAATTTAGTAAGGAAACTGAAGTAAGATTGCTTTTATATTTTCTGCTTTTATAAATAAGACTATTTTTACAAAATATCTTAGCATAAATTAACTATTGCTTGTTATTGAAAACTAAAAAAAACCCAAAAAACCCCAAAATCTAAAGTCACATATTATGTTAGAGCAGTAACTCCATATCAAATGTGATTTTTAAAAGCAATGTAAGTTAAAAAGACTAATTTTAGGAATGAATCAAATTAATTATATATGTCCAAAATTCTAAGTAAGTTTAAGAATGAGTCTATAATTACTTGTGTAAGTAATTACTAAATTTTAGAATTCTAAATAATGATAATGTACCACTCTTAATAAGATTTTTCTATCACTATTTCAAACTATAATTGCTTTTGAAATCAAAGCACTCTAGTAAGACAAAGCTGAGAATAACTACATTATTTCCAAACTTGAAATATTGAATCTTTCTCTCAATGACTATGTCAGTTGCTCTCTTAAAGTGTGATAATAACATGTCATGATGTTGTTGTTGTTTTTAAGTGCTGTTTAGTCGGTTCCAACTCATAGTGAAACAGTATAGGGTTTCTGAGGAGCAGCTGTTGAGTTTGAATCACTGACTTTGTGGTTCAAAGTGACCTTGATGTTGAGTAGTTATACTAAGGCACCAACCAGGATGCCTTTTCTAGTAGTATTTGAAAAATAAATATGAACATTTTTAGATTTGGTACCATAGCCAGCTGGTAGATTGAAAACCTAAGTTAATTTTTTTTTAATTATACATTGTCATATTTTTCTTTTATTTCCAGTATCAGATATTTAATATCCACAGCTTAATGGTCACTTTGTAAGCTTTCATTAAATGTTCACATGCTAATCTTGCTACCATGGTAGAAATACAGTAATATTTTTAATAGTCCACATGGAGATGAACATATATTATCAAGATAATATCAATTAAAATTTAAAATATGAGACTAGGGAAAGCATTGAAAATATTCCTTATGCCTGGATAATTTATCCTTCTCATCAATTCCTTGCTATTAATGGTAATAAATGAAATCAACTTTAAGATAATCTATTGTTGCTCTGCTTACCTGTGCTTTATTGAATATGCAAAGGCTTTCAACTGTGTGGATCATGACAAATTTTATGCAGAGAATGAGCATTCAGGACTTAATTGTGCTCATGAGGAACCTGTTCTTTGACCAAGAGTAAGTCATTCAAAGAGAGCAAGGACACTTGAATGGTTCTAAGTTAGGAAAGGTTGGGCCAGGGTTGTATCATTTCCAGATGCTTACTCAGTCTATACCTTGAGAAAATATTTTGAGAAGTTGAATTATATGAAGAAGAATGTTGCATCAGGAGTGTAGAAGACTCATTAACAACCTACAATATGTAGATAATACAACCTTGCTTGCTGAAAGCAAAGAGGACTTAAAATTCATATTGATGAAAATCAAAGACCACAGCCTTCATTACTGGTTGTACCTTAATGTAAAGAAAACAAAAATTCTCACCACTGGACCAATAAGTATCATCATGATAGATGGCGAAAAGAATGAAGTTTTCAAAGACTTCATTTTGCTTGGATCCACCATCAATACTAATTGAAGTAACAGCATGTCAAACAATGTATTTCATTAGACAAATCTGCTGCATAAGACTTCTTTAAAGCATTCAAGAGCAAAAATATCTGTTTGAGGACCAAGGTGTGCTGGCCTAAGTCATGGTATTTTTAATAGCTTAACATGTGTGTGTATCTTGGACAATGAATAAGGAAGACCCTAGAAGAATTGATGCATTTGGATTATGGTATTTGAGAATAATATTGAAAATACCATGGGCTGCTAGAAGAACAAACAAATCTGCATTGGAAGATATAAAGCCAGATGATCCTTAGAAGCCAGCATAGAGAGAATGTCTCTCATACTTCAGACATATTATCAAAAGGGATCAGTTCCTGGAGAAGCACATCATACTAGGTCAAATGGAGTGTCATCAGAAAAGAGGGAGACTCCCAACAAAATGGATTGGCACAGTGACAGCTGCAGTGGGCTCAAGATTAACAAAGATTTTGAGTATGGTGCAGGACTAGGCAGTGTTTCCTTTTGTTGTGCATAAGATCACTATGAGTCAGAAAATAACAACAACAACAATAGTTGCTTGTACATATAATCAACTATTTGAAATATTCAGTATTTAAATTAAATTTTATCTCACTTATTTTTTAAATTTCAAATGTAAATTATAAAACCAACATATAAATTTTTAATGAATTTTTTACAAGTAAGAAGCTACTAAATGTGTTAGCTTTCAAATATGTTGAGCCATAAGGATTTTATTAATATAAATTATATAGTATCCCATAAAAGCAAAATAAAGATGTTAATGTGAGATATCTGGAATTTTCTAGTTGAAACAAATAACATCTTTTCAATACAACCCTATTTTCTTTAAAAATTAACAGAAATGTATATTTCAGTTCAGATCTTAGGCAAATATACATCTACCTAAATTATAACTGATTTCCAATTAATGGAACTATGAGTCAAACAAAAGGAAATGCTTTTTCTCCATAGTTATATGTAGTTATAAGATTGTGTTGTTTTTTTAAGTCATGTGTTGTATTTATTAAAGTTAAGTATTTAAAATATCATAACTCCTCTGAAATTTTAAAATAAAAAGTACGTAAATAAAATAAGCTTAAAAAATTAATAAGTTTCCTAGTAATGTGGATTCTCAACTCTGCAATCACAGTAATATATTCTGCAGTCCATCACTTCTAAACACATGACTACATATGCCCAATAAAGAAAGACTACTGTACCATTGTACAGGTATCTTTCAGTTCCCAACAATTAGCATAATATTCTAATTTTGCAATCTACCACTTTTAAATACATGATTACATATCTCAAAACAAAACAAAACAAAACACAAAAAAACTACTGTACCGATGTGCAGGTATCTTTCGGTTCCCAACAATCAGGATAACATCACAGAGTTGCTGTTGCTTCAAGTAACTTTCCATCTTTCTGAAAGTTTGCTCTGCATGGTGAACTGCCTGATAGAATTCTTCAGAGCTACCGGAGTCCATATCACTTTGAGGTGTCAGAGAATGATTGTTTCCTGACAATCTGTGAATCACAAAAGAAAGATCATGATGAGAAAATGCCATCAATTATCCAGACTTAGACACAGACTTTGAGAATATACTAGGGAAACATCTATGCTTCTGTCCTCATTTTATTATCAGTAACACAATTCAGAAAAAATATATTTTAGGTTAAATATTTGTACTCTAGGAAGCAATAAATGAATTAAAACTAATCTCTTCAGTTCTTGCCTTAACAACAACAACAAAAATTATACTGTTGCTGTTAAGTGCTGTCTAGTCAGTTCTGACTCATAGCAACCCTATACAGGGTTTCCGAGGAGGAGTTAGTGGGTTTGAACTGCTGACCTTGTGGTTCACAGTCCAGTGCAGATCCTATAGCACCACACCAGGAGTCCTGTATATATTGGGATGTAATAATTTAGTTTGTGAAAAAGTTGCACAAACATTAATATTGTTGTTAGATGCCATCGAGTCAGTACCAACTCACAGCAACCCTAACATTAATATATGCGAATAAGTAAAAGGCATTGCTACAAGTTCAAAGGCACCTTTATTAACAGCAGCCAAAAAAAAGTTGAAGCATTTATTTTTCAATGTATCTTCCACTGGTGTTTCCACCTTTCTAATCTTTCCACAAAGAATTCTGTACTCTTTGATTTATACCACATCAAAAAGGCAGTTTTGTTATCCTTGAAATGCTTAAATTGTGTTCCTTTTAAATGTTCTTTGAGTTTTGGAAACAAACAAACAAAATCTGAAGGGGCAAGATGAGAGCTGTAGAGTGGATAGAGTGAGGTTACAGTTCAAACTACTCCCAAAGAATTAGCAGGCATATTGGCATGATGGGGGGCGGTGAGGGGTGGGGTTACTCAGTGCAACTTTCCTGTCATTTCCTGGCCTTTCTCTCTCCAATAAAATTTTCAATTTAAAACTTCTTCATAATAAGCCCCCATGAGAGTCATGTGTCCTTCAAGGAAATCTCTCAAGATTTCCCTCAGAGTCCCAAACATAGGAGTATATGTATCTATTCATGTTGCACTTCTTATTTCTCTAGGGTATATAGCAAGAAGTGGGATTTCTGGGTGATATGGCATTTCTATTCCCTACTTTTTAAGCAAGTGCTATATCACTTTCTACAGTGGTTGCAGCATTTTACAGTCTCACCAGCAGTGTATGAAGTATCTAGTCTCTCCAGTCAGACCTTCACCAGTATTTGTTTTCCATTTTTTGAAATTTGTTACTAATTCTGGGGTAAGATGATATATTATTTTAGTTTTTATTTGCAATTTAATTATTAATAGACTCTTGGTATGATGCTGTTGCATCAGCACTGGGCTGAGAACCACAAGGTCAGCAGTTCAAACTCACTAGCTGCTGCTTAGTTCAAATTCACCAGCATCATATTCATGATCAAAAAGAGCATTTCAGAATTTATTTTGAAATACAGTACTGTCAGTGATAGGATAATATTCCTATGCCTACAAGAAATACCAGTTACTATGACTATTATTCAACTGTACACAGTAACCACTAATGCCATAGATGAGGAAAGTGAAGATTTCTACCAACTTCTGCTGTCTGAAACTGTTCAGACATGCAATCAAGATACATTAATAATTACTGGTGATTAGAATGCAAATGTTGTAAACAAAGAAGGATCACTAGTTGGAAAGTGGAAAGTATGACCTTGGTAATAGAAATGACAACAGATGATGAAATTTTGCAAAACCAATGATTTATTCACTGTAAATACCTTTTGTTGCTATTATTAAGTGTTGTCAAGTCAGTTCTGACTCATAGCAACCCTGTGTAGAGTTTCTGAAAAATGCTTGGTGGGTTTGAACTGCCAACCTTGTTGAGTTCAGTGCTTAGCTTCCAGTACCACATGACAATATAATTGGTGATTATGTACATGAACCTCAACAGATTAAATGCACTGGAATCATTTTTAGTACATCTGTGTAAAATAGATGACAATGGAAAATAATCTCAATATTATCAGTCAGAATATTGCAGACATTCTGCACTAAGAGAGACACTGCAGAATAGACCATCAATTGTATTCAAGTTCAGGTTGAAAATGAAGAAAATTAAAACAAGTTCCAGGAAAACCAAAGTGCAACCTTGAGTTTATCCCATCTGAATTTGGAGATCATCTCATGAACAGATTTGACACATTAGACACAAATGTGTGAAAACCAGAGGAGATGTGGGATGAATGACACCAAGAACTTAATAATGAATAAAATAAAAGGTCATAGAAAGACTGGAATAAAGAAAATACTGAAATGAATTTCAGAAAAGACTCTGAAACATATTCTTGAACATAGAGTAGCTAAACAAATGAAAGGAATCATGACATAAAAGAACTGAAGAGATTTCATAAAGCAGCTGGAGAAGAGAAATTAAAGTGTGAAATGGGTAAAGACCTGAAATTAGAAAGCCAAAAGGGAAGAAAATGCTTGGCATTTCTTAACTTGAAATAACTGAAGGAAAATGTCAAGTCTTGAGTTTCAATACTAAAGGATTCTATAGAAAAAGTGCAGAATTGAACAATGCAGAAAGTGTCAAAAGAACCAAATAACCTATTATATTCCTAGAACATTGCATGAAGAATTCAAGCTTAGTAGACCCATCTCAATAAACCCAGAATGTTCTACTTTTACGTTCCTTGCACACCCTCATTTATCTCACACCCTTAATACTCATTCACACACATACAAGTGGACTTTTAAAAGTCCGTGGAAAGTTTTCATTAGCTTTTGAACTCCAATTTTCCATGAACTTTTTGAAGTCCAATTATATTTCCCACGTTAGTGTTTGAATATATTATAAAAGCCAAGCAATTCTTTTGGAGTGTAGCATAAATCCTCCTAGTTCACACTTTGAACTTCATTGGTTCACTGGGATTTAAGTCATTCTATAGGTCAGCAAGCAAAAATGGAGTCCCGGTATAGCATAGTGGGATAAGCACTGGACTACTAACTACAAGGTAGGCAATTCAAAGTCACCAAGGTAGGCAGTTCAAACTCTCCTTAGAAACTCTATACAGGGCCCAGGGTCACTATGAGTCAGAACTCTCTTGACAGCATTTAACAACATCAACAAGCAAAAATGGGTAGTACGGGTGGATCCTAAGGAAATTCAGCAGTGCAAGGATTCCACGTCCAGTGATACTCCAGGAAATGCCCTAGATATGTTTCGGATGCTATCTTAGATAAACGTACTTCAGATACTTCTGGGTGAATCTTATCAGATGAGTGTGGAAGGGACCATGGCTTTACTTGGAAGGGTGACTTAGCAGATAAAGATTGACTAACCTTTATAAATGGGAGTAAGAGGGCTGGTTTTTTGGCAAGAGTGATTCAATGGAATTTGGGACTCAATGTCTCCTGCTTCCTGATTATCTGTCCATATGCATGCCATCCAAGTTTCAGGACCTTAATTCTTCCCAACCAATGCCCTTGCTTTAACTTCAATGCAATTCAAGGTTTGGAATTCAACTGACATTGTAGCCCAGTCACTCTTATGATAGGATTACGTATTTGGGGTTTAGCAATACCACCTCTGCTACTACAAGAAGGATGGTTTATTTCCAGGGCACAAAAGCAACTTTCAGATTGCTATGCAGTGCATGAGCTGTGATTCTGATGCCCTGAGCTCATCTTTTTCTTTCATTACTTCTACCAAAAGTAGTGCTGACCAAGCAGCGTCCCTATACTTTTCTGTTTAATACAGATGAAGAAGGGTATCAAATACACCATCACCTAGAGTCTTGTTCCGCACAAATATTTTATCCTATAATAGTTATATTGTACATATTACTTCTATTACCTCATGCCATGTATCGGCAGTACCCTCTTCCCTACTGAAATTGGAGACATCTGTGCACTTATGTGTAGCCATGCTTGAGAACAAATTCAGAAAACACATCCTTAAGATTTTGATTCTTAAGAGTGACTCTTGGTTACCAAATGACTTAGGCTGTGTCGTCTAGAGGAGCAAAATCATTGAACTATATATAAGGAGCTCTGGTAGCGTAGTGGTTACGAATCAGCTGTGAGACGCAAGGTCAGCAGTTCGAA